AAAATACATTTTTGTCTGATTCTAATTTTTATTATTTAAATTTATGATACCAATAAAAAACACTAAACAGAAAAATTTGCATCCCTCACCGCCGAAGCTACAATTCAACCGGAAGATCCTGTCTAAGAAGAAAATCAATACGGATCTACCTCGAAGTAAATAGGAGACGAATCTAACATACATAAAAGCCTTTCAGGACAAGCTGAAACCAGAAGGGAGTAGATAAATAGCATAAACAATACATCTAAAAAAGCAAAGCTAGCTTTTTCTTTTACCGTATAGTGTCAGAATCATCTATTAAGCATACACATAACCATGAACAAGATTTTCGTTGAGCAGTCTTGTGTCACACCCAATATGTATAACTTGGTTCATGGTTGGCTTTATTTGATTGATTTTTCTTCATTGATGCAGCAGGTGACTCAAACTGGAATTATTGGTGAGAGAAACCAAGAAGGATTTCAAGTGTGGTACGTTTAATTTCATATCTCCATCCCAAATGCGAATATCAATTCATTAGTAAATATCTTATATCTTACGGTATTATAGCTTTCATTTATCTTACGATATTATAAAAATTAATAAACTACCTTATAGTAACCATATCATTTTTATTTGTTTTAATGTATAATAATCCAAATAAATGCCATTTACATTTTCACAAATTGTATCGTTTCAAAATTTGTGCTTGCGTCTTTTCCTTATAAATAGTTGTGTTTTTTCATCCGTTGTGAGTAGCGCCTTTTCATTATGAATAATTGTGTTTTTTCATTATAAATTATTGTATTTTTCATCACAACTGTAATTTGTATCATTTTAAAATTATTGATACTACTTAAAACCATATTAAAAATTCATTTAGGTTTGATTTTTACTTTTTTACTATAATGATTTATCATAAATGTAGATTATCTAGATGGTTTTCTGAAAATAAAAATAATAACAGAAAATCTGAAATATAATCATTTTCCAAAAAAATATGTATTAAACAAAATTTTAAAAGCATAGAAAATATTTAATATTGTTATTCATCTTGAAAAAAATATTTAATATTTATCCTTGTTATGATGAAAAAATCTAGTCACTGCATGCAACTTTAGAAAAGGTTTGAGAAAGTTTTGTTGATGTTAATGGAAGAGAAGCAAAGAGACATGGGTCATTTTATTTAGGTTAGATATATAATTATAATTTTCTTTATTAATATACAAATTATCTCTTTTATCAATATGTATGTATATATATACCTGTAACAAACTATCTCCAACTTTCTCAATGGATCATCTAATTAATTTATCTAATTGCCAAGACGGTAAGTATTCTTATTATATATATTAAAATTTGTAAAACGTCTGAAAATATATCATTTTTATATATCGATTTCTATCCAAAAGTAATAAATTGTAATATTTTAAAAGTTGTAGTTACATTTTTTTATTATAAATGACTAGATATTTATCCACGCTACGCTGCAGAATATTTTTTCTAGATTTGTATATATTTTTAATATAATAAAATTATTTCTATAATGTAAATGAGTATTATATTTATTTTTTATTAGCTTAAGTTATGTATGTATATGTTTTAAATCTGAATAAACATTATATATCAATAATTTTTTAATTTTTTAAAATTATAATCTACTATCAAATTTGTTTAGCTAACTATCTATAAATGTATATGTAAGAATAAAACAATACATTTTTAAGTACCTTCATGCTAATGGTAAATGTAATTTATTTTCTCTACTAAATTGCTATTTGATCCTCTTTTGAAATTATATAAAGCAAATTGCCATTTAAAAAATATTAATTAATATGATTATTTTAAACTATAAAATTTATTTGTTTATCAAATATTTATTATAGACATATGTTTCTAAAACTACCAAACTATAATCAATAACATTCATATCAAAATAATTACTATTACTTTAGAACTAAATAGAAAGTTCTATTTGAACTGTTAAAATATCAATTTAGTTGAAGTTAAATAATTCAATTTTGGTTACTATAAACATATTGTAACTTTGAAAATTAGCACAGAGAAATTTTATCATTTTACAAAAACTGAGAAATTGCATTTTCCGACAAAAAAAAATATATATTTTCCCACAAAACTGAGAAATCGTCTATTCCCGCCAAAACCAAAAAAAATTTATTTTCTCGTCAAACCTGAAATTTCATTTTCCTACCAAAACAAAATCAAAAAATTTCATCTTCCTGCAAAAACAAAAAAAATAGTATTTTCCCGTCAAAACCAAAAATATATTTTTCCGCAAAAATCTTCTATTTCCACCAAAACAAGAAAAAATTATTTTTCTCGTCAAATCAAGAATCACGTCTTCCTACAAAAACCGATAAACTACAATTTTCAGCGAAAACCAAAAATTGCATTATCTCATGAGAAATTGCGTTTCCCGCAAAAACTAAGAAATCATATTTTCCCTCAAAAACCAAAAAAATCAAATTATATGTCAAAAACTGAAAATTTGCATTTCCCATCAAAACCAAGAAATTGTTTATTCCCACCAAAATCGAGAAATTTTGCTTTTCTATCAACCCGAAAAATTGTATTTTCTGTCAAAATTGTCAAATTACAATTTTTCGCAAAAATCAAGAAATTACATTATCCATCAAAAGCCGAAAAATTATATTTTCTATCAAAACCGAGAAATCGTATTTTCGTCAAAATTGAAAAGTTGCATTTCCCTCACATGTTCTCGTCAAAATCAAAATTTTTATTTCTCACCAAAACCAAAAATTCACATTTTCCGCCAAACCCGATAATTCGCTTTTTTCCGCCATAACCGAGAAACTATGTTTTCCTACCAAAACTGAAAATCACATTTTTCTACCAAAACCAAGAAATTCTCTATTTCCGCCAAACCCAAGAAAATTTGTTCTCGGTAACCAGTGGAAATGCGAATCTCCAAGCTGTGGTGGTCTGAGTTTCTCCTCATTTGCTTTCGCCTTCCATTTTCTTTGTAAACTTTGGGCTTTTTAATGGGTCAGCAAAATAGTAAATTGATTTTATTAGTGTGTTAATAATATGTATTATTGTTATGTTTTTATTGGTTCAAATTTTTGCTGATGTGTGAGCTTCTTATAACATAACATTTTTTGCATTGTTGTTATGGAAGCATAATTGATGATGAGTCTACACTTTCTTCAATCATATATGTATCTATCAAGCAAACACATAGGTAGAAATTTTAATTTTTTTTGCTGTTATTTATTATTTGAATTTCGGTTTGGCAAAAATATAAAACAAAGATTTAATTTTACTATTTGTTGTTATTTATTATTTGGGTTTGATAAAAAAATAAAAGTTAAATATATTGATGACTTGTATTAATGAAATGTTTTTATTGGTGTTTTTTTTATTTGCTGAAGTGTCATCTCCTAAAAGCTTGAAAATGCTGATGTGTGAAGCCATGGAGAGACTTATGGATTATTGTTGTGTTAATTATGTCTTTTCATTATAAATTATTATATTTTATAAATTGTTATATTTTTATTATAACTGTAATTTTTTATCTTTTCAAATTTATTTATATTGTTTAAAACTAAAGAAAAAAAAAATTAGTTAAATCTGATGTTGTGAACGTTAATAAAAAGACACATAGAATGAGGGTGGGTTTATATCTTCTTAGACCAGCTTTTAGTCATAGACAAATATATGTTGTATTATCTAAAGTCATTTATTTAAAAAGTTTAAAAATTTATCAAGGCTAAAAAAAATAATGTTTAGAAAAAGTATTAAATAATATTCAGTACCTTAAGCATCCCAATTGGGAACCTGCTCAAAAACAGGTCCACATAAAATCAGATGGCAATTATTTCTTTTTCAAACATTTTTTAAAAAAATTTAGAGTTTTGGAACTACATCGTAGCAAATAACAATACTTAAATGCAGTGAAAACTACAATAGAGAAAGCAGTATAAATATTCGACAACAAATCTTTATTTTTCATTTACAGAAACGTTAAGATATATATTTAGCAGGATACAAATATGTTGATAATAATTAAAAATTATTCCAACAATTATAGGAAAAAAATTAACCATTTTAAATGAATAGACATATTTTAAAAGGATATAAATTTTCTCTTTTAAAGATTATTTAAGTCAACAGTTGCTTTATTTACTTAAAGAGCACTTATACTTGTATACTTAATAAATTGGAAATAATATATTTTCACTCTTTGGTAACACTCATATTTACTGGTTTCATTTTTTTAAAAAAAATATAACTTTTTCTTCCTATAGCGTTAGATTGAACGAACTGTTAAAAAGTGAGTGTGGTGAAACAATCATTATAATTGTCAAGTTATACAATAATTTAGTTTCAATTACCAATATTAAAGTTATTTACTTTTACTGACGTTAATTTTATATCTGAAGAGAGGTCTACATATAAAAAAAGATTTTAATAATTTTTTGATAAGTGAAGGAATTGAATTTGAAGAGGTAAACATGATTCTAATGAATGTTATACTTAGGGCTTGTGAAGTGATTGAATCTAGTGATTATTTCCATTCAAAAATCATGACACTATTATCAACATTACATATTCATTCACTAAAATGTCACTTACGAGGATACTTGAAAGCAACAAACAATTAAAAAGCTTTTTGATTAATGAACTGTTGTACCAAAACCTTCTATTGAAAATATAATTATCTAACCGGAAATAATAACATTTTTTATAGAAACAAAGAATGAAGGAAAACATACTAATAATATATGTGCGTGATTTGCGAAGAACATTTTATTGATAAATAAATTCTTCTGAAACTACCTTGCAATCATATATTTGATATAGATTGTTTTCTAAATGTTTATGTTGTTATTAATTATCTTTTTAACTTATTAAATAAATATATTTAAATATAAATTTATTGATTTAACTATTTTATGCATATTCTTAAAATATCAGTTATATAAAATAATTATTAAAAAATGAGTTTCCGTGCGAAAGCGCGGATTATTTACCTAGTAAGTATAGTGAGTGATGAGTTTTATCATCTGCAGGATGAAATCTAAATCCATTTGACATTTTCTCTCAGCACTCACAATTCAGTTACCCTTACTGGGCCTTCATAGAGTGCCCCATTAATATAGGCCTCCAATGGACTTAGCTCATTTTCAATGTAACGAGGCGAACCTTTTTTTTTGTTATACCAAAATCCGCCCCTAATTTTAAAAAAATCGAATCAAACCCATCTCAGCTATCAAAGCGACGGCGACGGAGAGAGAGAGAGGAAACGAGAGACGGCGACATCTCCCCCTCCTTCGTGGCTATCGAAACCCTGAGCCCTAATTTCACAAATAAAACCTAACGGAATCCTGTTTCCCCGCCGTCCTGCGTCGCCCGGCGGCGGAAATGTGCGCTTGGGGCGATGCGTTTAATCCTCACCGTCATGCTCTCTTTCATTCCTCACCGTCCCTGCTCTTCCCCCGTTGCTCGTCCTCGCACACGTCGCTGCCGTCTCAGTCGCTTCGCCACCGCATTGGTCGCTACCTCCGCTCTTCTCCTCGCCTCCGTCGCCTGGCTCTCCCTCGTCTTCTCACCCGCCACTTCTCGTTGCTGGCATTTCCTTAGGGATTGGGAGGACGCACACATCTGGAACAGACGGTACCATCCGATTACCCCTAGAGAAATCCCGCCGCCGTCGATTCCAGCTCTCCCTCTCTTCGATCATGACGAGGAGATTCTCCAGCAGCCTCGAAATCGCAGTCTCTGGGAGTCGAATAGACTTGATCTGTCTCTGCACCACTTGATGTTCGGTATCGCGGGATCTTCACAGCTCTGGGAACGACGCAAGGAGCTCGTGAGGCTATGGTGGAGACCTTCTCAGATGCGTGGTCACGTCTGGCTCGAAGAGAAGGTTTCTCCTGAGGAAGGAGACGATTCTCTTCCTCCGACCATCGTCTCCGAAGACTCCTCTCGTTTTCGTTACACCAATCCCACTGGCCATCCTTCTGGGCTTCGAATCTCCCGAATTGCAATGGAGTCCTTCCGCCTCTCCCTCCCTGATGTCCGGTGGTTTATCCTCGGAGACGACGACACCATCTTCAACGTCCATAATCTTCTCGCCGTCTTGAGCAAGTACGATCCTTCGGAGATGGTATACATCGGAAGCCCCTCGGAGAGCCACTCAGCGAACTCATACTTCAGTCACAACATGGGATTCGGAGGCGGTGGCATCGCCATTAGCTACCCTCTAGCGGAAGCTCTCTCTCGTATCCACGACGACTGTCTCGATAGGTATCCAAAGCTATACGGTAGTGATGATCGCCTTCACGCCTGCATCACAGAACTCGGAGTTCCTTTATCCAGAGAGCCTGGCTTTCACCAGGTACTGTCTCTCATCATCTCTGCCTCTATGATCTCTTGTTTCTTGAATCTGATCATTTGCTAATTTGACGGTTTTGTTGTGGCAGTGGGATATTAAAGGAGACGCTCATGGGCTCTTGTCTTCTCATCCCATTGCACCCTTTGTCTCAATTCATCACGTTGAAGCTGTGAATCCACTCTATCCAGGCTTATCGACGCTAGATAGTTTGAAACTCTTCACAAGAGCCATGAGTTTGGACCCAAAGAGTGTTTTGCAGCGATCCATCTGCTACGATCACACTCAGAAGCTGACATTTTCGATATCTCTTGGTTATGTTGTACAAGTCTTCCCGAATATCCTCCTACCACGGGATCTCGAGCGAGCTGAACTTTCCTTCTCTGCCTGGAATGGGATAAGCCACCCGGGCGAGTTTGATCTTGACATAAAGCTTCCCATTTCATCTCTCTGTAAGAAGCCTTTGCTCTTCTTCTTGAACGAGGTAGGGCGAGAAGGTAACGCTACACTCGGAACTTACTTGAGATCCTCGATAAAGGATGATTTGAAGAGGAAGCTTCTGTGTTTTCCACGATCTCCTCCTCTGCAAAAAGTGGAAAAGATCCAGGTCCTAGGGTTTCCTCTGAGCAAAAACTGGCACTTGGTGAGGCTTTCTTGTTTATGTTTTGATCCCCTAATGTTCTGTCCTTTTCTTTTTGATTCATAATTTAATGATTCTTTCCACTTTTGTTACTGCTCCGATCAGGCCCCACGACGGTTGTGTTGCAGAGCAACGCCAACTACTAATGAGCCTCTCAGATTAACAGTTGGGCAATGTGGAAAGATCATTTTGGGTTCCACGATTAGTTCCCAATGAACGAACACTTATGGTGTAAAACTGGATCTAAGCATATGTTGTTTCAGCTCTATCCTGTGGCTTGTACATAGGTAAGATCCAGGACCTTTTTAACTGTTGTTTGACCTAGATTGCTAATGCCCAAAATTGAATTTGTTTTTTCTTTCTTTCTTCCATTGTCACTCTTTTGTTTCTTCCTCTTTTGTACATGCTGAGATTTCAATTTTCAAGAACTCAAACTCTTCCCGTTGAGAAATTTGTGCATTGTGTACAAACATTTGAGCTAAACACATCATCAAAACTTCATATTGTGTGAAAATTTGGTCATTTATTTATTTCCTTATCTAGTTTGGAATACCGATCTTAATAGCCACATAATATTTGTGTGGGTTAACTTCTAGTTTTCGTAATCTGAAAAGGAATTATATATCCACTAGGAGAGTGGTCCATGGGGTTGTGGATTTAGTGCGGATTTAAGGAACTGTCTTTGGTTGGATGGATTTTTAAGATGTGTGTGTGTGTTCTCTAAAAACTAAGGGTTTAAAATCAGAGTGTTGTGGTCTGAGTTGACTTGTCATGAACTCTCTGACACACTGGCAAGTGAGCCCAGGTTTGCTACTTGTTTGTCGTAAACCCTGAAATTGACATTATGATGAGAGAGCAGTTGCATCATTGTGTCTATTTTAGGGGTCATATAGTTATTGCACTGATCACAAGTTTGCCCATAGTTAGTTTTTTTTTTTTATTTCTATAGAGTTTGTTCAAGTAAAAAAAAAAGGTATTTATTCGATGAAACGATTTTGCAGGAATATGGGATAATGGATTTAGTGGGTGTGTGAATTTCTCAACTAGTTACAATAATATATTTATCTTTGGACCCAATTTTTTAAGTAAATCTGATTTTCTGACTCGTGAAAATTGATGTTGACTTGTTTTATTTGGTAAGTCCTCGTATGACACAAGTTGGGAAAGTAACGAGTTTGACAAGTTGCGTCCTAATGAGATCAGATTTGTAGTTTGATAGAGAGAGACGTTGTTTTGGTTATTTGTTGGTTTTTTTTACTTTTTAACTAACTAACTGATGTATAAATTAAACACCTTAAGATCTAGAATGTGAAAAATAAAGGAAAGAAGACGGTTAGAGATATTCAGAAATCAAGGAACTCACTCCGCGAGCATGTTCTTACCACTTTTTTTTTTTTATTATGTTTACTTTGTCAATCGTTTTTAATTAAACTGAATATTAAAATTTTAAGTTAAGATTAAGAGAAAAAAAGAAACACATCACATGTAATAAGTAATAAATAAGTGAGAAAAGGAGTTAAGGGAGAGAGAGCATGTGAAAGTGGGGGGAAGAAGAAGAGATTACAGCTGTTTCCGCCGCTCTCTCTCTCTCTTTCTTTCTTTCCCCTTCAAGAAAGTTCTCCACTTCCACCGGCCACCTTCTTTCTTCATTCGTTCCTTCTTCTTCTTCCTCTCTTTTTTTCCATTTATTTATTATATTTTTCTGTTATTATTAGTAGCATCCTCTTCGAGTTACGTGGGTTTTCAATATTTATTTCATCTATTCGTTAAATTTCTTATGTTATGTTTTATTTCCTTTTTTAGATAACTAAAAACCAGCGGTGTACATGTATAGTGTGAATTTGGTAATGAAAATGAAATGTTGTAATGTATAACAAACGGTTATAAAGTTTATGTAGGTGAGGCTATTTAAGAGTGTATAATGTCGACAGTGTAAGTGTCTGCGTCGACGTCTTGAGTTTGCAGCTAATTTTAGATGTGAAGCTATTTAATTTTCTTCTGCTCCATTAAGTTTCATCACTCCTCTTATCTAGCTATCTTTCACCACAGCTTTAGTATCTCAAATGTACTTGTTCCATTGTTCTGCCTAGGTCTCTTTGTTTGAATTGTAATATTTTTATTTTGTCTACAGTAGTCTGTGGTACTTAACAAAACCAAAATTATCGTCTTTACTTTTATTTTCAATATTATTTTATTAAAATTTTGGGAAAGAAACAAACAAATAACAAAATCAGCCTCTTAGAAGAACAAATATGAGTTATTATTTATTTAATACCCAAATTATCTTCACAATGCAAATGGACCTCCAAATGCTAAAGTAGAAGTTGACAAAATAAAATGCTATATCAGAATTATATTAACATTTAACTAAATAAATGTGTCATTAGTTTTTTGGACTATAAAACCCAAAATTTTGAAAAAGTATCGTAGATTATTTCATATTTGTTAAAAGTTTATTTTTTTGATTTTGGAAATCATATTTTTGATTATAAAATATGTCAGCATCACCGAAATGCTTGTGATATTATGGTGTCTAGACTCTTTGTTATTCAAACAGACTATTTTTCTATAATATTTGAATATAAATTTTTCAAATCCACCAAAAATTTATTAGAAAAAATTAATTGAGAAAAAAATCGAATGGTATTAATAGCATCGAGAACTCGTTTAATACTGTAAAAATTTCGAATTATTTGTTTCATAATCTCTCTTAATACTGTAAAAGTTTCTGAATATTTAAAAGGTTTTGAATTATTTGAAAACTTTTAGCAAAATGTTTGAATATATGTTTTAAATACATTTGTAAATTGTCTTCTATTTTTCTATATTTTAAATTTAATAATGCATTTTTACAAGCTATAAATTAGGTGTGGTTTATAAAAAAATAAATTCATCACCATTGGATTTACTATTGTTTGGTCTGTTTTTATTTACATCACTATTGTTTGGTCTATTTTCTTTTTTTACATCACTATTGTTTGATCTGTATTCTATAACTACATTACACAACAAAAATCAAAAATCAAAAGGAGAGAGAGAGACTGTTGAATTGGAGAGGAAAGAGAATGGGGGGAAAGATGTCAAGGCTGGTCCAGCTCAAATCGGGTAAAACTATCTAAATTCCAATTTTGTCCTTCCTCTTCCCGAAAATCTGATTGTCACATACCCTACCAATGAAACAACGCCACGTGGTCACCATATACATGATGGTGGGAGAGGACAACAACATGGGAGGCACATGATTTTGTGTTTATTATATTTGCAAATTTTAACCTAAAAACGAAAAAAAATTAATCGGATCACTGGCAATGAGATGTTTGCGGATCCGAATTTAACTTTTAAAGCCTTCCTTCCTTATATTAATAATACATATAAGATTTAATGTGATAAAAATAAGTGGACCCTTTTATCGATTTTTTTTAATAAAAATCAGAAATAAATAAATAAAAAAGAAAAAGGAGGTGAAGAAAAGTGGGTTTAACAATTATTTGCTGCAAAGTTAGAAGAGGCTCAGCTTTATTAACTTCTCTTTGCTTTCATTCTCTCTATCTATCATCATCATCCTCGTAATCCTCATCTCTCCTTTCTAACACCTAGTTGCAGTAAAAAAAGGCTGCTTCTTTCTTTCTTTCTTTCATCAATGGTTTTATGAGGAAACTGTGAGCTAGAGAGAGAGAGAGAGAGAGAGAGTGTAGGATAAAAGTGTGTTGGATTGAAATCAAGATTGGTGAAATCGAGAGATGGAGCAAGGAGGAGGAGGAGGAGGTGGTGGTGGTAATGAAGTGGTGGAGGAAGCTTCACCGATCAGCTCAAGACCTCCGGCGAATTTGGAAGAGCTTATGAGATTCTCCGCCGCCGCTGATGACGGTGGAGGATTGGGAGGAGGAGGAGGAGGAAGCTCGTCTTCTTCATCGGGAAATAGATGGCCTAGAGAAGAAACACTTGCTCTTCTCAGGATCCGATCTGATATGGATTCTACTTTCCGTGACGCTACTCTTAAAGCTCCTCTGTGGGAACACGTTTCCAGGTCTCTCTCTGTCTCTTCTTCTTCAATTCTCAATCTTGCATCAATGGTGTTTCTTCAGATAGCTTGAGATCCATTTGCATGTGTTTCCAACGCTTACTTTTATTTATTTATTTTATTTTCTGTTGATTTATATAAATATTAATATATTCGGGATCAAGCATCTTCACCATCCCCAAGAAAATTTACCAAAAAAAAAAAAAAAACTGTTTGTTTATACAGAAGTGGCTCATGAGTTTCTGGGACGTTTTCGATTTTGTAAATCCCAAGACTCTTTTTTTTGTTTAAAAAAAATATAATTTCGATCGAACAGTACCATAAATTTTCCAGTTAAATTATATACCAAAATAAAAAATAAAAACATAGAATCTGAATTTTTGATTTTTTTTTTTGTTTAAATGGCAAACGCACAGGAAGCTAATGGAGCTTGGTTACAAACGCAGTGCTAAGAAATGCAAAGAGAAATTCGAAAACGTTCAGAAATACTACAAACGCACTAAAGAAACGCGCGGTGGTCGTCACGACGGTAAAGCTTACAAGTTCTTCTCTCAGCTCGAAGCTCTCAACACAACTCCTCCTCCTCCTCCTCCTCTTCTTCCTCCTCCTCCTTCTTCCCTCGACGTCACTCCTCTCTCCGTCGCCAATCCCATCCAACAACCTCCATCTTCTTCTCCTCAATTCCCAATCTTCCCTCTACCGCAAACGCAACCGTCTCAACCGCAGATGACACACACAGTCTCCTTTGCCACTAATCCAGTTCCTCCTCCTCTTCTTCCAACGGGTCCCACTTTTCCCGGTGTTACCTTCTCATCTCACAGCTCATCAACGGCTTCGGGAATGGGGTCAGACGATGACGATGACGACGATATGGACGTGGATCATGCGGGTCCCAGCAGCCGCAAACGCAAACGCGGTGGTGGAAGCGGTAAGATGATGGAGTTATTCGAAGGTTTGGTTAGACAAGTGATGCAGAAGCAAGCGGCTATGCAACGGAGCTTTCTTGAAGCGCTTGAGAAGAGAGAACAAGAACGTCTCGATAGAGAAGAATCTTGGAAACGCCAAGAGATGTCTCGTTTAGCACGAGAACACGAGATCATGTCTCAAGAACGTGCAGCTTCTGCGTCTCGTGACGCAGCGATCATCTCATTGATCCAGAAAATCACTGGCCATACAATTCAACTACCTCCTTCTTTATCATCACAACCGCCTCCACCGCATCAACCGCCACCACCAGCCGCTAAACGTCCTTCATCACAAGCTGTAGAACAACCTCAGTTACAACCAATAATGGCGATTCCACAACAACAGGTTCTTCCTCCTCCTCCTTCTCATCCTCATCATCATCCTCATCATCAACAACAAGATCAGAAACAACAACAAGAGATGGTTATGAGCTCGGAACAATCATCATTACCATCGTCATCGCGATGGCCAAAGGCGGAGATTCTTGCGCTTATAAACCTAAGAAGCGGTATGGAACCAAGGTACCAAGATAATGTACCTAAAGGACTTTTGTGGGAAGAGATCTCAGCTTCAATGAAGAGAATGGGATACAACAGAAACGCAAAAAGATGCAAAGAGAAATGGGAAAACATAAACAAATACTACAAGAAAGTTAAAGAAAGCAACAAGAAACGTCCTCAAGATGCTAAGACATGTCCTTACTTTCACCGTCTTGATCTTCTTTACCGCAACAAAGTACTCGGAAGTGGTGGTGGTGGTTCTAGCACTTCTGGTCTACCTCTACCACAAGACCAAACACCAACATTGCAAAAGCAGAGTCCGGTCTCTGCGACGAAGCCGCCGCAAGGAGTTGTTAACGTTCAACAACCTCATGGGTCGGTTTCAAGTGAGGAAGAAGAACCTCTAGAAGAAAGTCCACAAGGAGCAGAAAAGGTAAAAACGTTCTCAAAATGTGAAATGGTTTTGTGTTCCTTAAATAACTAAAATCTTGATTTGTTGAAAATGAAGCCAGAAGACCTTGTGATGAGAGAGCTGATGCAACACCAACACCAACAACAACAACAAGAGTCAATGATAGGTGAGTATGAAAAGATTGAAGAGTCTCACAATTATAATAACATGGAGGAAGAAGAAGAGGATCTTGATGAAGAAGAGCTAGACGATGATGAGAAGTCTGCGGCTTATGAGATTGCATTTCAGAGCCCTGCGAACAGAGGAGGCAATGGTCACACCGAGCCACCGTTCTTGACAATGGTTCAGTAAATCAGAACCGCTGTTTCAAGAACATGTACTTATGTGTGCATAGTTTCTAAACAAACACCAAAAAAAAAAAAAAAAAAAAACTCAAAACACAAACACACACATCTGACACCAAAAACTGAAAATCAAGATTCTCATCAATCTTGATATAATTCAGTGAAATACAATTCTTTTTTTTTCACATTCTTTCCTTTTGTTCCTTTCCTTTTCTCACTGTCTCTTGTTTGTTTCTCTCTGTTCATTGTTTTCTTCTTCAACACCATTGTTCATCACACACATTCCTACACCCTCATGAACAAAAAACTCTAGCTAAAGGTCTTTTAGATTATTTGGAGTTGTAATTCATCAGCAAAGAGTCACACTTTGTTTCTTTTTGTTCTTAAAACATTTGTTGATTGGTTAATTGGGGAATAAAGAGTCTTTCTTTTCTGTCTTCCTTGAGGTAATAAGAATCCTTCAGTTATCAGTCAAAGATGATGACTTAAGAAACAAGAGAAACATATTTGAATTGATAGATGAAAAAAGATTGGCTTATTCCTTTACTCAAGGACTCAAAAAAAAAAGACGAGGAAGAGACTCACTCAAAGCCATAGTTTTTGGAGAGAAGAAAGAATCTGTGTTTTATGTTTTATCCTTTTTTTGCGGCGCCCACAAAGACACAATCCGATAAGCCATTATTCATTTGTGTCACAATCAATTAAACAGAGTCACTCAAAGTTTTGTTCTTTTGTTTCAACTTTCTTCTTTTCTTTTTAATCTTTTTTTTTTCTTCTCCTTATAATCAAAAGCATGTGCAGCTTTTGTACTTACAACGACAAGACTCGTGCCTCTCTCATTGTTCATCTTCTGTTTCTCTTTTACTTTTTTAATTACCTTCAAAAAACTGTTTCTGAATATATATTGTTTACTGCAAAACTATATAAAAATAAACCAGAAATTACAGAAAAATAAAAATAAAAAGCTGGTTAATTTTGAATAGAGAGAATATACAAACATGGATTGAGACAGCATGATCACACCAAAAAAATTAAAAAGAAAAAGATTCTGTATCTTTTTGATAGAGAGAGTAATAATGGAGGAAATGGGTACAGGTAAGAAAGAGTAAGTACCACTTTGATTGCCAACTTGCTTTCACCTCTTTGTGTCTTACACAGCTGCCCCAACGTGCAATCATTTATATAAAATGTATGTGTCTAATTATACATAATATATATATTTTACAAATTGTAATGTTTGTGTATAAAATACACCAACGAGGCCTGTCCTACCCATGTGCATTTGTTGTTTTCTTTATTAATTAGACTTTTTTTCGTTTTTCGTTTTGTTTTAATTACGTATTTTGTGGGTAACCTAACATAAATATACCCAACATGTAATCAACAATTTCACATGTTGATCCCACCATAAACTCAAAAGTTTAAGATCTGTGTTTAACTCACTCACATGTAGTTTCCTTTTTGATTAGGCTCCCTACTCTTTTCTTGTCTACTAATCCTTAACGTTCTCTTTTCTTTTTGTTTATGTTTTTTTCTTCTTCTTATTAATATATATATATATATAGACTAATTCTTATATTAATTTTTAAACTCCAAAATATATAAATACAGTGTTCCGGATCGAAAGCCTAGGCCTGGAACTTTGTAGTGAATAAAAAGTATAGTTTTTGAGGCTATTGATTGGGAACCTTGACGAGGAAGCTACCATATTTCAAACTAGTGTCAAGTTCCCAGCAGAAAGACAAAGATGCAAATCTTTCAACGACCATATTTTGAGAATCTGATAATTAGAAAATCCAACAACTGTTTGCTGAAAGTTTTACAAAACACAATCCAATCCAATCCATCAACTATCAAATCCCATTTCCATTTACACAAAGAAAGGGCATTCCGTGTTTTTTTTTTTTTTTCAAAAGAACCTTAGGTCACTTTTGCCCCAAGAAAACAAAATTTATCAAGTAAAATAATTTAATGGGGGAGAAAGATCCAAAGTTGGGAAACTATGAAGCTGTGTAGTTTATATAAGTTAGGTAATTTTAATCGAGCTCTGCTTTGCTTTTACTTCTCTTCATCTTAGCCTTGAACCTCGACTTCACCATCAATGTCTCTACCGTGTTTATGAAGTTACCAATGGCCATCACAACCAGGAGAATTCCACATATCAATACCTGTCCCCATCATTCACATTATCATCAGAAAACCATTGTAATAAGATACTAAGATAGGCTTGATTGGAAATGGGAAGCAAGACAGGCTAGAGACTGAGTTTTCGATGTTCACAAGTTTCCATTATCGATTATCTCTATTCACATATTACACACATCAACATTTTATGTTTTTTTTGTCATAATGACGCGTGGATCAGTGGGGATAGTGCACAAAACGCTGCAAGAAGAGAGACTAATATACCTGCCATTCGGCGACTACCCCAGTTAAAGCTGTCCTGAGCAACTGAAGTCCAACGTAGGCTTCGAAGCCCTGAGTTTGCCAAAAGTATAATACAACAATGTTTAACTACAATACGATAAGCAAGCTTACGAACTTAGTCTATGTCTATAAAGTTTCCTTTGAATCGATAGGAGTGAATGAAGATCTTTCATTGTTTAGAGCATCTTACAAGTCTAAGAGGACATCAAAAAGCTTGGTTTACTTAGTAAGGTATCTTCAAAGATATATTTGAGTACCAAATATATCCTTACTGGAAGCAATGTATACTGCTAATAGCTACAAATAACCAGCTAACCACACGAGCCTGATCTACGATGCAAGAAATATGAATCTTTAAGATGCTTTAGCCTAACCTTATAGTGCAACAAAAGTAGAACTGTTACCTGTAAAGTGAACAAAATAGGACATAATAGCCATAACTGCCCATCTACTCCAGCGGTTTCTCCCCATACAACATCCATCCTCTTAGCCTGAAAATGGTCCACAATGCACATTTGTCACAGCCATTTCACAAAAGCGGATACGAATTGGACCAGAGAAAATTATGAATAGTATGGCACCTTTCCCATTGCAATGCGAGTGTATAATCTTTGGCGCTGGTATCTATTTTGCAGCAGCATTGCAACACCTTGCATCATAGCCCATTGGAGGAAAAGACGGACTCCTTTCTGCAAAATATTTAGGATGATCCATAAATACTTAGTTGGTAGATATTACTCTGCACATATGATAATAACCAGTACCTGCTTCTGAACACAGTTTGGTTGACCTTTAATTTCCCAAGTGAGACTGACAAGGGCCATAGCCATGGCACAATAATGATGATAAAGCCACCTGCAAAAGCATATCACCCCAGAGGTTTAAGTCATCTCCAAGCCATCTGGTTGATGAGATCACCAGAGTAGCACGCAATAACATCAGTCTATATAACATAATTCACTTCAGATCATGATCATAAAGCCACTGAAGACTTTAACGGCGACTAAAGTTCTTAATTATCCTTTTAAAGATATAGAGATACAAGTTCTACTCGACAACAAGAATAAACTACCTCTTTCTACAACATTCCCATATTTTATTCAATGCCAGAGAGAAGACATATTGAAAGGAACAGCGTGAATCCTGATGCATTACATTTCCTACAGAAATTCCTCTCATCCCCTCAATTCTAATGCCTCTCATTCAGCAGAGTGATCAATATAAGCTTGGAGGTGCAGCAAAAACAGAGGCAAGACACAAAAGGGTGACAAAACATTGACCAGCGACAGTGAATTCAATGAGTTGCTTGCAGTCAAAGCTTACACCCTAAAGCTAGTAGTAAATTTTCATGGCCAGTCCATAAAAGAGCGAATAGACAAACAAGGCGAGTCAGCAGCACACAGAATCTAACAAATGGGAAGAGCGTCCACTCAGAAGAAAAACGAACCCTGCTCTCAAAGAAAGGAAACAACCTAATGAATTTATAACCTATGATCAAGATGTAGCATACTAATTTACCCAACGTTCCTGTGACTCTCACCAGTAACACAACAATTGCATCAACCTAGAATACTGGATAACAATAGCAAACTGCAACTTAAAAAATCACAAGCAACTAAGGAAGGGATGGGATAAATACCATGAACGGATATCACTCCCGTTGGCTCTCAAAATGTTCTCTCGCATAACCAAACCAGCATAAAGGAACAGAAGCCAAGCCTGATAAGAGAAGCTTACATGTTCATACAACAATCTGAAACATATAAACAATACTAAAAGTAACTCAAATCAACAATAAACATCAACACTAGTATACCTCATAGAGCTGAACAGGGAATGCAGGCAAACACCCATCCCACACATAAGATCTTAGCGTCAAAAGTATTGCAGGGAAAACAAGAAAAAGAAGAGCTGTTCTATCCTGTTTCCATGGAAATACAAGCGATTACATGTTACTGGACAGATCAAATTTGACATTGAAGCTGAATGCATCAATGGGAGAAAGCAAATACTAACTCTGTAGCTATTGTATTCTTCTTTGACTTTAAGCTGTATATCTTTCCGTGAGGCTCGAACATTCACAGGTCCCAAAAACATTCTTACAAAGCGTCCTACTTTCAATCATAAGGCATTCAAAACAGTGACGACGCAGTCTAAATCACATACAATGGATCAAAAACCATAAATTTAAATCTGAGATTTCGATAAGTGGTCTCCAGAGGTGAGAGAGGAGAAACCTTGGGGTTTGGAGGGAAGAAAAGAGGAAGTGTCTCCATCTGCAAGCATACATCTTGCGCGTTGCAGATCCTCCTCAAGCTGCAGCAAGAGAAGGGAACAAAATCTTAAGAATCTGAGAAACGAAAGAGAGATCGAAAAAGGGAGAGAGAGGTGAGAAGGAGGATACCTTCTCGAAAAGCTTGGGATCGAGATGTCTGTCGGAGACAAGAGTGGAGTGGAGGCGGCGGATTGATGATTCGACGACGGAGGATCTCTGGCGGAGAGAGAGCTCTTCCTGTGAAGAAGAAGAAACGAATGAGGTGGCAGAGTCGTGGAGCTCCTTAACCTGCTCGACGATCCGTCTCACTTCTTCTTCAACCTCCATGGTGTCGATTCGTAAAGATGAGATCGGACTTTTGTGTGTCCGAATGAGGGATGAGGATTCGAGGAAACCCACGAAGAAAAGGAAGGATTTTGTAGAGACGAGAGGAGGAAGAAGATGTCGAAGATGAAGAAAAAAAGGTTGGAGTTTGTTTTGGTATGTCTCAAATTGACGAGGTCCTTAGTTGTAAATATGAATCATTCGCACGCATCTCTTTCCTCATGCTCTTTCCTAAACCCTTAATTAAAAAAAATCAAGAAAACAAAATGATAAAATATAAATAAATTAATAAAACCACACTATTACATAAATTTTTATGTCGGCATGATGGGCATCGTATCGTAGAAAATACATAAATTTCCAAAAAAATTATAATGTGTATCAGTATCATCATCATTAATATCTATAGGAAGC